GAGGCAAGTGCCTACGTCCATGAGGTATCCGGGCATAATTCATCGCGACCGGCGCGCCGCGCCGCGGCGCGGCGTGTTCCGCGCTCGCGGTCCAACAGACAGCGCACAAATGATTCTTATTTGTTAATCCTTTCTGCTGACCTGCACTATATATTCATTCGATTAGACATTTCAATTTTAACAGTTGGATTTAGGCTCATATATTCGACAAGCGAAATAATATTGTATTGTATTGTATAAGTTGATGCTTGTGGAGCAGTACGCATCAGTCACTTTTAGTGTTCGGTAGTGTCGGATTAGAGACTACCATCTTTCTTTTATAATTTTAATAAGTTGAAATTGGTGCGTCCGAATCATTCGTGTTTAATTTACTACATATTTGCAAATATGCATTTTTATCGTCACGATTGAACGATACGTGGTAATAAAACGTGGAAGAATAAAAACTGACACGTGTCCGTGGCAACCGATGATCGTTATAGCGTCAGAAGTTTCGCATAATAAACATGACGCTTATCGCGGGCACATTCTGTACGTAACAAACGTTGTCGTAGCCTGTCACTCCGCTGTTACGTTTGAATAATTATTCAGCGGTACGTTTCCGAAATAGGATACCGAAGATTACACACACCGTCTATCAGTTCCTTTTGATGCTGTCATAAGCGTCACAGCTGTGTTCCCGCGGAAACAGAGGCTGCGTTTCCCTGTATTAATTACGACCGTTCTAGCGAATATCTACGGTCTAACGATACATTCGACTTCCTCTTTTCTCGATCGTTTCCTGCTGTCATCGGTTTGCTAGAAACATTTGTTATTTTAGCACGTGTCTATTCTAACACCGTGGAAACTTTCCTAATTCGATTTTGACTTTCATTTTTTTTTAGAACGGAAGCAATTTGTCAAGCTTGGGTAGCTTGTAGTTGACGATGTTACTTTATTGCCTACAGTTTGGATCATCTATACACAGTGTCTTGTTGCATTGAGACGATTACGCGAAGAAAAATTCAAAGACAATTGAATCTTGAACTTACGCAGCGTAATACAGTTCCTTGAATGGAACTATTCGCACAAAGTGCTTCCCTCTCCTTTAGCTCTGTAGTGGCTAGTTGGAATCACGAAACAAACAATGGCGGAGGAAGCAAATCTCCCTAAGCTCTAAAGCTAATATTATAGCAGATTAGCTTGAAGACTTAAGACCTTTTACACAGAACGCTTTTCAGAGACGAAAATGTGTGTGAATAAGCACCGATTTTCCCTAGAACCATGTTTTCTATTTTTAGTACACCCTGTTACCATAATAATATACACAGGATTTTCGATTTTAATCTATAAGTGAATATATTAAAAATTCGGAAAGTTGAATTTGAAGGCACTAGAGTAACTGACGCGACTTTTAAAGAAAATATCTCTGTTCCTGTCGTAGTGGAATTTTTATTTTTACATCTTACAAATTTGATTTGCAAGATTTTCAAAATTTGTATTCGAAGAACTCTTCTCTTTATGTATTTCCGTTGAAAAATTCTGATGAAAAAATGTTTCCATAAGTAATGCTATAAATAGAACCTATCAACAAAATTCCAGAACTTTTTCCATCCGTGGTATCCACAATGTAAAATAATAATATTTCACCGAGCTCGACTAATAACTCGAGCAGCGTCAGAAAGTGGATTCGCGTCGTTCGGTGATTCGTCGCCTGAATTGCTGCACCATTTTCGGCTGGTAATCAGAACGCATCTGGCAAGCCCGCGTGCGAGTGCATGGCGCGGCTCACCATTGTTACGTACGATTATTATTCACGAAGACGTATCCAGACCGTAGAACAGCAAGACGGTGTTCCGTCTGTTAGGACTGTCTGACCTGTCTCATCCGGCGGACCAAAGAGCGAGATTGCCGGGCGTGTGCTCTTCCTTGTCGGCGTCTAACCGCTGTTACGTCGGAAACACGGTGTTTCCCGTGGAAATGTCACTATCCGCGAGATATCCGCGAGATAACCGCGAGACGCTCCGTGGAAACTTCATCGCGGCCCCGGCTAAAAACTTGCGCGAATAAGGGGACCGAGCGCGACCAGAAATATAATTTCGCGAACTTTTCACACTGGGTCACGCTTTTTCGGGGCTGGGGCTGGGCGATCGCTCTCGACGGGGCCGTAGCAGTTTTTCAATTTCACGAAGGAGAAGCGGCTGCAAAGCGGCCGCCGCCCGCTGCGGCGAAATAATTTTTCTGCAAATCTTTTATGGGGTATTATCTCGCGTTCTATTCGCCAGCTGGAAAATACGAAACGCGGGGGCAATTTTTACTGCTCCGGCGACGCAGGATATCAGAGGGCATTAAAGTTTTACGCGAGACAGGGGGGACGAAGCTAGAGACGGTTTAAGGGTTTTGAATCGCGTTGACGTACTGAAAATGTACCGCGTGCTTCTCGATTTTTTTTCGTCCGAGGAACAGCCATGCTTTTTCTGAAATTTCCGCAGCACCGGCGTGCCTCGATTATCCGATCTAATCGAGGAATCGTACATGTTCGAGAACAGTTATTTGATCGAAGTACCACATCGAATCTTTATTGATTTCTGAAAGGGTAGCGTTTAAACGCAACGGATCAAACCGTAATATACGCAAACGAATGAACACGCAATAATATAAAATACAATTATATAAACACGTATGATGGTATCGATAGTCGAACAACGAGCGAAGAGAACGGAAGATTGAAATATTAATATCTATGAAGATATTTTGGAGGCGCCACATTCAATGAATCTGCCTCGGAGGAAATTTTTGTAAAGGAAAAAGTTGCTTCGAATGGCCCGAGGAACCCGCCACTTTCGGATTGCGAGACATTTTTGGGACACCCTGTATATGTTGGCCAAGATAAACGGGGCAAATGGCATAATTCAAGACAAATCATAAGTTCCATTGTGTTGAGCGAGTCGCAAACCTCGTATGGCACACTGCGATTTTACGTTTCCCATCAGGACGACTGTGCCGTAGCTTACTTAGCCGTCTAAAGTCTAGACACATAAACGTTTCATGCCCAATAATACTCCGATTGTAACGATTCAATATCCCGCCAGGGCTTACAATCCGACGTACCCCAATAAATCAAATACACGTTCAAGTAGAAATTTTTCATTTTAACGAGAAATAACGNAATCGCGTTGACGTACTGAAAATGTACCGCGTGCTTCTCGATTTTTTTTCGTCCGAGGAACAGCCATGCTTTTTCTGAAATTTCCGCAGCACCGGCGTGCCTCGATTATCCGATCTAATCGAGGAATCGTACATGTTCGAGAACAGTTATTTGATCGAAGTACCACATCGAATCTTTATTGATTTCTGAAAGGGTAGCGTTTAAACGCAACGGATCAAACCGTAATATACGCAAACGAATGAACACGCAATAATATAAAATACAATTATATAAACACGTATGATGGTATCGATAGTCGAACAACGAGCGAAGAGAACGGAAGATTGAAATATTAATATCTATGAAGATATTTTGGAGGCGCCACATTCAATGAATCTGCCTCGGAGGAAATTTTTGTAAAGGAAAAAGTTGCTTCGAATGGCCCGAGGAACCCGCCACTTTCGGATTGCGAGACATTTTTGGGACACCCTGTATATGTTGGCCAAGATAAACGGGGCAAATGGCATAATTCAAGACAAATCATAAGTTCCATTGTGTTGAGCGAGTCGCAAACCTCGTATGGCACACTGCGATTTTACGTTTCCCATCAGGACGACTGTGCCGTAGCTTACTTAGCCGTCTAAAGTCTAGACACATAAACGTTTCATGCCCAATAATACTCCGATTGTAACGATTCAATATCCCGCCAGGGCTTACAATCCGACGTACCCCAATAAATCAAATACACGTTCAAGTAGAAATTTTTCATTTTAACGAGAAATAACGAGCTTTTAGTTTAGTAAAAATTTTCTTAAAGGAAAATGGTTCGTTTGTTTATTTACAAATGACATAGGAATTCTGTGAAAAACTCATTGCAATATATTAAATTTGAGTTGACAATAAATTAGTCAGAAACAAAACAAGTATTTTTTTATATCATGTTTTATTGGTCCGGTCCTAAAAATTAAGTTTCGCACTGTGTATACGATCTAAGGCTCTTTATTTCACTTACCCACTTTTTCCATAAATACACGAAATTCGCAGTCTATTTGTGACTGCGCTATGACTAAGGAGCAACAGATGTGACAATCGTAAAATTATTTATTTGTACACCATTTTGTGTGTCTGTGCGTGCGTGCGTACGCACTCATTTCGGTACGGGACAAAGCCTGTTAAAGATACTATGAGAAATCGAACGTTTCATATGCAACTACCGAGTATCTCACGTTCTACCCTCCAGTAATGATTGATGCAGTCGTTTCACAGATACATGTACAACTGTTTCCGCTTTCACAGGTAAACTGCGGCGTGCGTTTACATTGTTGCGCGGCCGCGAGTCGAACTGATAGAATCTCTGTTCCGCATATTTCGAATTCGAACTCGGGGGTTTCCATCCTCTGTTGGTAGTGTAGTGAAGAATCTGGTACATTCCCTTGCCACTTGAAACTTCATGTCGACTCGGTTTATCGAACTGTTCCATAGCGGACCTTCCCCTTTGTCGTCCTTTTCTCCTGCTGTTTCAAAATTCTGGATTTCTTTCAATTACAAGGGTCTTGTAATATATACTTCTATATATACTTCATAATTAATCGTTAGATTTACTTTTTTAATAAAGGAAAAATCTTCGATACATATTAAACGACTTTTTAACGGCCTTTTTAAAAAAGCAACCAGATGATCCACCCTATAAATAAGTTAACTATCATCATGTAGATAGAACGTTATTCCGACTGTATCACGTAACAATGTTACGAAGAAGTGCCCATCATGCGGACTATTCAGCAATTGGATTATTTCTCTTATGCGATGCAAATGGTTTCAGAGCGCAATCAATTAGCAGCCGATAGTGTAAAAGATCGAATTTTCTGTGCAGGTCTACGAGATGTACGTGGCTGGGTACCAGTTCAAGGTGCTCTCGCCGGTTTTCACCGGGCATTGGGGCTTACAGACAAGGAAGACCAGGCCAGCTTGGCGCGAGCGACAGAACAGTGCCAACAGGAAGCATTTCGAGACGTTCAAGAAGGAGGTGTTTGCTCGCTACATGCGCGACCCCCTAAAGATGATAAAGAACGTCAAGTGACGACGAAAGCTACGCCGATGGTTCCGTTGATCGAACGCGAGTGAATCCGGTTCGCCGTCCTTTTTATCCGTTGCGGGGCTAAAAACCAACCGACACGACCGTCACTTTCAAGGTTTTACTATTTTGCCTGACCTATCGCTTATGTTCCATACAGTCGTGGACGTTTCGACCTAAAAAACACCTCGAATTTTGAATTAAGCATCACCGGTTACGTAAACTCTATTTCGCATGTCATAGAATTATAATTGAATAAATGAGCGGACAGGGATTATTTTGTATGAAATGATTCTTAGGAACTCGAGAGCATTAACGTTGAGTATTGGGCTTCGATCGTTCAAGCAATTAGGTATTGGTTGAAACCAAAATATTAGCTTCGTTTGAATGATACGCGACTGTGATGATCGTTGTTCTATCGTCGATTGTCTGTGTCATTGACTTTTTCAGGAATTGATCATGGGTTGTGTTACTACGGTAATTCAGAATTCTGCGGGCTACTTTAACGACGGCCAGTGACCGGAGAGTCACGTGTCATGGGGATTTTCGAAACGTTTAGTAACTTTTGAACGAAATAGAAGGCGTCGAATAAATACGCGTGATCCAGAAAATATTTCGCAGTTTCGCAACATGCATAATTAGTTTCTTTGCGTTGGATTTATGAAACATCGTTATCAATTACTATACTACTCAATTTTAGTGTTTCGATTTTGTTTCAAATCGGTAGAAAGTTTATTCTCCAATGACTATATGCATTTATTTAACTCGCGGTAATGAAAATTGTTTAATCGAAAGTTTAATAGAATAGTTTCGAGAGTAAAGGACTAATGGTAAAATCGATTCAGTTCTATTTTTCACAGTAATCGAGCATGAAACGTTTTTTTTTTTTACGTATTTTGCATTGCATTTACATCGCACGGAGACGTTTTAGAAGTTTGTATTAATCATAGTTATTTTGGAGTTAGCAAGTTTTATAGCAATAGTGTATTATGATTTAACTATCGCTAGATAGGGCAATAGTGATAATATTATTTTAAGATCGCTCTTATATCATCCAAGGGTTTTAGAAATAATTGATTATCAACGCTCTCTACTTGTTTCGAATCTGCTTTACAATGATTAAGAATGTTTGAAGTTCCGCGAAGCAAAATTTCCAAGAAATTCTTTATCGCAGCTTCTTCAAAAAAGTACTCAAAGTTTCTACTTTCTCGATGCACCAACACAAGCCAATTTGAATTTGCAGAACAGTGTGCAGTTCCACGTTTCACTTCTCCCGAAGCATTATCGTTTTCTCGACAAGTATGGATACGGAATATATTGTGGATCACAGAATGTACATTCACCTTAGAATTACTTCCCGAAGATTGCACTTTGTGTAAACAGGGTGTTTTTGGCTTTGAGACAAAAACTGGGATCATTGCCGAGCGTAGTGATCGCAAACAAAGGATTCTAGCTGACCCGAATCATCATCGGTCCAACAGATAAAAATCATGAATGTCTCGACTTAGAACGATTAACAATTTTTGTCCTCTTCTGGCTTTTTACCCGGAGAGCTGACTGTTCACGGTTGATCGTCTCAAAACTGAGATATAGTACAGTTTTCCACTTGTTTTTACAATAGCTATAAATACCTCGGAGTCATTCCTCCTGGTCGGCACATCTTCACTGATCATTTTCGCAATATCCGTCCCCTATCGATCAGCGACATATCATGCGCACACAGTCACATAAGTTTAGGATAAATCTCACGCTGTACGCTGTTGTTTATCAGTTCTGGGAAGATATGTTGTACATAGACGTGAAAGTTCAACGACAGATAACACGCGTTATCGACTTTTCGTTTCGTAACGTACCGCTTGTCTAATGCGCGCGCGAGCGATACCGACATGATTTGTCGACGGTGTATCGAGTTCCTCGACGACTGGCGCGATTATTCAGGGCCTATGATTTTGAGGTACTTGTCCCCGGAGCGATCGACGAAGGATCATCGGATCACTTTTCAACCAATTGTCGATTATCGTCTGTTTTTCGACAGAAGAAAAGCTGAAGTTGTAATTGGTCCTGTCGCTCACAGACTCGCAACCATGAGTGGAATGGAAAAGCTATTAGGACTTTGGCCAACTTCTTTCGAAAAATAGACCGCAGATACATTCGAGTTGTTCGAAGGTTCTGTACTCGTTATGACCTAATCCGTTTGCGAGCCTAGTTATTTTAGAAACGGTGTTTTGTAATTGTGGTTAACAAGTGTGCTGCAAGAATTTCTAGCAATTCGAGACAAAATACGACAAAAAATACGACAAAATCGACAATTAAACGTTAATTGTTTTAACGCGTTGACTGCAACACTGTAGCGCAAACATGTTTCGCGAAATCAAAGTAATTTTGCTAATGAAACCGAGACTAGAAAATTAAACCATCGGCAGCCCACAAGTTTTAGTCAAAATTGATTGATTGAATTATATTACGATAACAATGCGTTCCTAAAGCTAGGCAAAGAATCGCGTCGCAAGTAAGTATTTGCATAAACAACGCGGCAATCAACGTGTTAATTAAACGTGCGAAATTAAGGCGATACACGAAAAGGCGAAAAATTGATATTTTTATTTCCAAGTATGACACCGTCATTTGAATTCCTGTAAAAAATAATTTTCTGTTGCTTTCTGTCGCGTTGCTAGCAATAACGACGCTACTTTGAATTATTATATTCGTTACAAGATACTTTGTCGAATACCTGAAACGAATATGAATGTAAGCGACACAGTGTAGTTGCAGTCGCGTTGTGCGTTTAATTGAATACAGATTCTTATGCATATACAAATTTTTGTGAAGTAATTTACGAACGATTGCGATTGCGAGGAAATTTCTTTCTTCTGTTGCTGGTTTAGGATAATGATACTATAATTATTTTAAATATTAATAAAATGATTAATCTTATCGTGTCTTATTCTTTGTAGCTAATAATGATTCATAATATACTTATTTTTAATTCGATTTAATTTAATACAATTTTATTTTAGTTCATCTTATTTCACTTCTCAAATAATATTAATATTTTTTTGTTAAGAAAACGTCATTTCAAGCTATCGTTAATAAACATCGTATATACGAAACAAGAAGTATATTCATTTGTTAGAATAAAGATACAGAGACACGTGTGACACATTAAATATAAAAAAAAGTGTTTTGTTCAGTCAGTACCACGGATCCCAACAGTGTGCACGTCTAGCCCTTTCCGGAAGCGTTCGAAGCTCTGATTCACTTTCTTTCTCGGACGTTCGACACGCGACACTCGCAGAGTCGCTATAATTTGTTCGTGGAAGTACTCGGCACAGAATGGCAGGTCCAATGGCGTCATCGAAGAAATCACGTTGATCGGTTCGAAGGGTACGGAGGGAAAGAATCGTAGAATTGAGAGGTGTCTAGGGTGGAAGAGCGTTCGCGTGTGCAGGGATGCAGGCTCGTACAATCAAGTAGCCGCGATCAGAGTCGATAGCGGGCCGGGCTTCTCGTGTCTTCCGGTTCATCGATTCCGCCCGGAACGAAACTAACCGCGCTTGCTGCTTCCACTCACGAATCCCTAAAGTCATCAGAGACTGCCATGCGGGATCGCGGAATAAATATCCGCCGGTGAGTTTCGCGGCACGTACACCCCGGCACACGAGCAGGAAAACGAGGTCGGGGAACTTAAGGGAAACGTACCTCGTTAGCTGTCTGTGATTTAAGAGGGCTGCGCGGCGCGGCGTCTAAGTTCAAGATCGGCTCGACTGTTTCAGAGGAGCGCCGTTTTCGTTTTTCTGTATGCATGCTTTTTTTCTTCTTCTTCTCTACACGCAACACGTAAAAGTGACGCGAGCGTTATCCACGGATATGGTAGCGGAGAATGAAACAGAACTGCGTTGTAATTACGAGGCGCGTTGATGACTGGCTTCGCAGAGGAACGAGAACGACTTCTTCACAGCGATCGAAATCCGTGACTTTGCTTCTCCGCTTTGTACAGCGTGTCTCATGCAATTATGCTACCTTTAACCCTTTGCACTCCGCTGTCCCCTCTCGTGGAACATCGTAATTCTTCACTCGGATGTCCCCAGAATGGTTCGGAGTGCTAAGGGTTAATCATATTATGTTATCATGTAACTATTATATCATTTCCGACTGGAACCGTTTGGAAGGATTGATAATATTTCTTAACTGTTACTTACTCGTTACTTACTTGTCTCGATCAAAAAACAGTAATATTAGATACATATATCAGTTGCTCAACGATTTGTCACTGGTACCCGATGAGTGTGTGTTTGTGTGTGTGTGTATGCGCGCGTGTGTGCATGCGTGTAAACCGAAAACGTTTCAAGGCACAGAGTTATTATATATTAATATAATGTTTATACGAATCTATGTATGTAAACGGATAAAGGTAATTGTTGTGAGACAAGGAGACTATTGTTAAGACGCAATAAATCATTGTAAAGCCAATGTTTCTCTTTCCAACTATGTCTCTTGATACCTGAATAATTCTTAATAAATACTGTTACAAGAGATTTAGTAAACACTTGCAAACATTAATTTGCTTTACTTCTTCTAGTCTAGATATAATCGATCAACTTCACGATTCTGAAAATAATTTATACAATGAACATTTAAGCTACATATTGCTACGCAATCACTTATCGCGATTTTAGATTGCAGGTGAGTAAATCGCCATAGATCTGAACTGATGCATCTAGCTACGAGACAGAGCACTTAAAGCGTTAGGTAAACCGTTTCCATGGAACCTCCCGATCGTTTCGGCTTAGCAAAGTGTGTTTACGAGCGGTGTATCTCGTTATAGAAAGCCAGGAACGAGCCAGGAGTGAATTCGTAGTCATCATTCCTGTTCCTTGGATCGCTGTTATCGCAGCTGTCGTTTCCTGTTCCAATTTTACAGAAACGAAATACCCTCGCTCTCGTTGCCGAGAAAGGTCAGTGGTGATTTTAACCTTTTCATTGGTTCTTCCAACTTTACGATTAATTTATGTTTGCCCGAGAATTGATACCGGAAATGGTAACCGTCTGAGATTCAAAATGGCAGTCGGCATTTTCGTGCGACATAATTAATTAAACACGCGTTGAACTATATCTCAGAAACGGTCGAAGATCGCAAGACGAATTAGCAAGATGAATCGGATAGCAGCGAGGAATTTATCAGCTCGGCAAGTCTTCCGCTGCGCGGCTCCGAGAACAAGAGGTGCCGCCACAAAGTTGTTTTCCAATGTGTAAGTGGCAAACTTCAACGCAACGTGATGTAACTATCGAGGGAAAACTTTATAATCGACCTGTATATTGCTTCCAGGGCAAGTGTTTTCAGCCACGCTGCTGGTACGCGAACTTCTCAAAGAATGCCCTTTATTGCATGCTTTTTTCGTGCGTTTTCATCTTGCCCCGCGCCACGAAGGACTTTGAGAATATCACGAATTTCTGCGGACATCAATATGGCAGTGTTACGTACGGAGACTTCTCGTACGTTTTTCGAAGACCTTTCTCAATCCCTAATAACCCCCTTTATTAGGGAAAACAGTCTCCTGTTTTTTCTTTTTTTTTCGAATCACTACGATTGGTTGTATAACACGGACATAAATACGCAAATCTCCTTCGTAATTCAGAATTATAATGTACACTCGTTGTACAGTAAATTCTTCCTAATTGATGTTTAGCTTGGAAATAAAAATGGACAATTTAGGAAGAGGAAGATACGATTATTCGAGCCTCGCGGCTCGGTTTTATAGTTACCGATCGTCAATAACTGTAAAAACGGAGCTGCAAGGCTCGAATAATTGTATCTCTTCATCTCAAATTGTCCATTATCAAGCTGAGCGTCAATTAGGGAGAATTTACTGTACTCCCCACTTCGGAGATCCGAATCTCCTATCTACCATCGATTAGAATGCAAGAAGTGAAAACGATCGAAAAAAGTGAGAACTTTCGTCGATTGTACAGATGTGTTAGATTTCGCACGAAGATCCGCGGTTAATTCGCGTTCATTGATCGATAAAGATCGATAGTACGGTAATCAAGGGATACGTGCTCGGTCATGATATGTGAATTGGATTCGAGCGGTAAAGTTGAAACATTAGTAGGGAACGATAGTCATACAAGGTGGTGAGAAGTGTAATGAAGGATGCAAACACTTCAGACGGTTTCGGTTCTTGTTATGAAGCGGCGGGTACCGTGCGACGGGATTAGAGCATTCCCGAGGAAATTGTCATAATGCGAACTAATCCGATTTCATTCTCTGCCAATATTGAACAACGCTGACGCGGGATGACGATGGTTTACTGTAACACGACTCCATATTAAAGCTGTCTTTGCCGTCTATCGAGAAGTTATGTATAGATTAGAGGCAAACGCAGGTAGCATAGTTCTATTGGGTTGGCAACTTGGGTCGGCTACTCGTTAACGGTGCCTCGGAGAACATTTTTCTAAAGGAAAAAGTTGCTTCGAATGGCCCGAGGAACCCGCCACTTTCGGATTGCGAGACATTTCTGGGACACCCTGTATGTACGGACAGAATATACAGTATCAGACTCTGCCGTCCAGAGAAATAGCCTCGCGCAGAATTCAGCCGTACCTAAAAGATTCAAGTGGAGCGACAGTTTCAACAATCGACGCAGACTCGACGAACGGCATTATGCGGCAAATATAACCGCGACTATTTCGTAGGGGAGTCAATTCGACGCTCCTCGATCCTCGATAACGCGAAATCGACGGCAGGTGATAACGCATCTACAGCCGCGGCGCGGGCTGCGTGTTCGGGCCACGCTCCCGTGGTTCCGTTGTCGGGAGGATTTTCGATGCTTTGTAGAATTTCGGTTTGTTTTGCTGGTCACAGAGAAGTTCGTCAGCCGAAACGAACGCGTTCCCGATTCCGTTTTGCCTGGGCGTTGTTTCGTGATTCGTTCGCGTATCTGCATCGCCTTGTTCGGCGTCGCGTCGCCCCGCATCGCGTCGCGTCGACGCGCCGAGCGGAAGTGACTGTTGCAACGGCACGGCGCCTAACACGGAGCCAGGCTGGACTAATTCTGTCTAATCTTGAATAATCTGGATTAATCTTGTACAATCCAGCGACAGCTTTCACGACGGTGCCGCCGGAATAGGTTCGTTTTCAATTAGGGAAAACATTTCGCTGATGGCGTCTGTTTTCGTTCGACGACGCCCGTCGCCGGAACCTCCGCGCCCGAGATGCGGGGTTTGGGCGAATTCGCGGGAAATCTGCCGACGGAATAAATCGCACGGATAATCCGTAGGGCCTCGTTCCCGCGATAAATCGCGCGCCATTATAACTTCGCCAGGACCGTGTCCACGAGCAGGATGTTCTACGAGAGGTAACGATAAAATAATGGTTTCGCGGTTATTGCCTCGCTCTGCGTCGAAAGTAGAAATCGATATTATTTTCGTTCCGGAACTTTTATCCGACGGGTGTAACAAGGTGAATCGCGGAGAAAGGTCTGCTTCATTAATGATATAAGTTTCAAATCGCCTCCGAGAGAAATGCAGTCGTGAATTATGAACGCGATCTCCGTCGGTTTGCAGCTTGCAGATTTGTTGAAGTATTACGACGGCGGATTTTGTTTTCACGATCGCGTCTCGCTTAATAATGTCATGAGACATCTTTGTTTCAGTTTATTTAGGATTCAGTTTATGCGTGTAAACGCAACGATAAAGAGAGATAGTCGTATATGTCTGAAATCAACATCCGCATATGGATTGAAACTTGAAGTGACACCATCGGACAGAACTTTCCGATAGACCTAATATAATTAACAAGTACAATTTTGTTATAAAAAGATCAACAATTTTTCAGATAATGGTAATGTCCCCGTTCAATATGTGTCGCCATTCATGGTAGCTCTCCCTTATAAGTTTAGCCCTTGGCTCGTAACAATATTATCCGTTTCGCAATTTTCTAGAATGCATGGAAACTCGTTAAAATCGGCATGGAAGGAAACAGTACGCAAAGAGATTTCGCTCGACTCCAACGTCACAATGCCGAGGTAGATCCGGCTGAAGACATCGTCCCAAGGCAGCAGAGATTGCCAGGAGTATGGCAATTGACCGTGTAATCACGGCCTTCAATCTTATCGCAGTACACCTTTAATATCAATCTGGAAAGTGCTCTTTTGAACAGGACAATAATAGGCTTTGTTCGTGTCGCGGAATCAACGGCGACGGTAGACAGCATTCAGTCGGTTGGACTTCTAAAAATATTCTCGGCCCGATTTCGAGAATTTCTAGCAGCTCGGCGCGGAGTGTGGCGCATGGAGAACGGGAGGCACGCTCGCTCGGTCGCCGGTTGCGTTTGTCAATCGATTCGTGTCGCCGGGAACGAGGAGCCGCTTTCAAATGGAACGTCGATCTTCCGTTTCGACGGGGATTGCACGCGCGACAGACAGACCTTTCATTCGTGTCTCCCGCGCGAGTATTCCCAGCCGGCGAACGAGACTGGTCGATTTAATCGCGGGAAACGATGTCTTCCACCGATACTCGCGGACTTGTACAGCCCCTAAGATCGTGCGAGGTAAACGACCCCTTTACGAACCGTACACACACACGGAATTGTTTCGTCGTAAGCATTGTTTCGTGAAACTCGCGAATACGCTGCTCAAAATTTCCGCGAAGGCGGAAACATTATTTTTCTCTGATTTATTCGAATAATTTCGTAGCAGTGAGAAATTTGTGTTTTGTATAATTCTTTTTTGGTTAATTAATGGACAACGAATCTTTATGCAAAATAAAAGTTTTCCGCATCGGTTGTGAAACACAGGTGTCATATCTTTCTTTAGTAATTTTAACAACTTGAAAATAGTACATCGTTACCGTTTCATTATTTTAATTTGCCGGCGGCTGTTTTTGTCGTGCGTGCATAAAATCCGCAAACTTGTTGATTAAAGGAGGCGAATGCGTCGCCTTGAAAAATATATAATTTAGCAGAAAATATAAAACGAAATTTCAATGAATTATTTATTATTATTTGTAACTAATATAATTATTAATTATTATTTATAATGATTTATTATTATTTTTACTCGAATAAAGTTAAAATTAACAAGTGCTTCGCGTAGTTGCCATTAAGACTCAGCAGTCTCCCATTTCTTGCTTCTACAACAATTTTAGGACACCCTGTATAAAACAATCTGTAGAAGATCTTTTCTTTTTTTCCTCGATCTTCGCAATAAATTCCGAGTTACTCGTGAATAGCTCGCAGATTTTTATGGAATATAAAAATTCTCCAGTCCGATTGCAAAACAGAGGAAGGTTAAATAAATATCTATTTTTATTTTTAGCACTTTTAATTAGTTGTAAATAGTCTAGCAGCATCGTCCGTAGTCTACCTCGGAACATGTAAGTAGAATAGATAAAATATGTAATCGAATAATTGGAATAGATGAGATCCACGTGTCAGGCAAATGCAATTAATGCGGTCTATGGTTTGTCAACTG